TAGTATTGACTGACACTGTTAATTCCTGTAGTATTGACCAGCACTATAGATTCTTCTAGTATTGACTGACACTGTTAATTCCTGTAGTATTGACCAGCACTATAAATTCCTGTAGTATTGACTGAAACTGTTAATTCCTGTAGTATTGACCAGCACTATAGATTCTTCTAGTATTGACTGACACTGTTAATTCCTGTAGTATTGACCAGCACTATAAATTCCTGTAGTATTGACTGACACTGTTAATTCCTGTAGTATTGACCAGCACTATAGATTCTTCTAGTATTGGCTGACACTGTTAATTCCTGTAGTATTGACCCGCACTATAGATTCTTCTAGTATTGACTGACTCTGTTAATTCCTGTAGTATTGACCAGCACTAAAAATTCCTGTAGTATTGACTGAAACTGTTAATTCCTGTAGTATTAACCAGCACTATAGATTCTTCTAGCATTGACTTACACTATAAATTCCTGTAGTATTGACTGACACTGTTAATTCCTGTAGTATTGACCAGTACTATAGATTCTTCTAGTATTGTCTGACACTGTTAATTCCTGTAGTATTAACCAGCACTATAGATTCTTCTAGCATTGACTTACACTATAAATTCCTGTAGTATTTACCAACATTATAAATTCCTGTAGTATTTACCAACATTATCCCCTATTCATAACCAATGGTATGACGTCACTTCAACAATACAATGACGTCACTTCAACAATCCATCAATGTCACGTCAACCCTGAATTTAGCATGTAATGTTATCATGACATTGTGTATATGATACACAATGGAAATGTATATGATGCACAATGGGAGAACAGGGTAAGAGAAATTGAATCCTTCACCCCCTTGTGGGTGAGATAGGGGAATCTCAACCCTCGGGGAAAGATTCTTAAATTGCCAAACACTAGACAAAGCCTCGTGTTTTGCAACTAAAGAATCTTCCCCCTCCGGTTGAGATTCCCCTATCTCGCCCCCAAGGGGTGAGAGATTCTATTAATCTCTGAAAATGACCCAACCTTTTTTGAAAGATGATGTGTAGTTAGAGAGCAATATAGTATTTTGTTGTCGGTCACCACAGGAGATCCTAATCAATGTTAAACTATTTGTTAACCTTTTTGTATTTCATTGTGTTTATTGTAATGACTAAGGTAATGTCTGTATGTGTAGAATCATGACATTAATCTGTAGATATACGGTATATGTGGGGAATGCAATATATCAAGTATGGAGGTTGGGACCGATTGAAAAACACTTATTAGTAATGATGCCAGGCCAAAATATAATCAACTGGAAATTGTAGTACATGTACTATTCTGTAAAACTGGGTTAGTTTTATTAGTTTCTTCTTAGCATTATGTACTATTCGCACTTCAATGTCTCTCTTAGCAATACAGTATGTTCATGTTGGGTACATTGCACTGGTCATGAACATTAAAACTCATAATCCTGAACTTCTACAAAGAAAGGGCAAGAGATATGTTTGAGTCAGTATAATATGTGTTTTGTTATGTGGGAAAATAAGTTCTGAAAGCTCTGCTTCCAAAACCCGGCACATCTGCTGGAGTACGGATGAAAGAATTTCCACCATAACATAACAGTAGTTCATTTGAGCGATTATGTTCTAGAGCTAACTTGTATTAAATCATGAAAAGACAGACATATTGTGTTACTAGTTTTTACCTTTCAATTTAAAACATTCAGAGATCACTCTGTCTAAATCACCTTTGCCATGGTGCATTAACTGTCAAGATCTTCATATTTCAACTTAGCACCCATTACATATGATGCAAAAAATTGACTTATTAACTGTTATTTAAAAAAAACATCTAGTATAATATCTAGTATAATTAAGAGGGAATTCTTGGCAAAATAAAAATAAACAATGCCGAGAGATCAAAATTCAACATGGCAATGGTGTTTATCATTATAAATGCAACTTATGTTTGTCTGAAGGCAATAAATACTTGTTAGGTTAATGTGTACAGTGTAACTGTATTAGTGTAGACACTTCGTTTTACAACAAAAATTCTGACTTTATCTGATGGATGAGCACATCAATGTTTAATTCCAGAACAATCTGTCTGATAACTAGTTCAACAAAAGATCAGTGTCAACAATTCCCCTGTACGTTACATCATAGTTTTTGTTCATCACCAAGATACATTTATCACTGCCCGACAAAAACTACATGCATTAAGATCAGAACAAAGTCATGGCATTAGAATACAAACTGGAAAAGAACATTTTTCAGACCGAAATCAAGAGGACTATACATAAATGTTCACTTGTATTTGTTATTATTAGCAGTGTTGTCTAATTACATTAGAGAAATGTATTATACTGGTATCTTGTTGATTTCACTGTTACGGTAGATTCTGTTTATACTTTATCTTGTGTTTCTGTTATGGTGGTACTTGTGTTGTATTTATGGCCTTGTTTCATTTAATATGTGATATTTACAGTGATGTTGTTTTGGCTTCCTAAGTAACTGTAGAGAATCAGTTGAATACAAAAAATTGTCAAAATAAGCTTACTGTGTTGATTTTTATTTTAACTCGCTTAGTGGGGGCAAACATTTTGGCTTTTTTCTGCAGCATACAAATGAATAAATTTGGCTAAGACTCGGTTATTAAATTTGGTACATGGCTTGTTAGACGAGCATTTTCATTGACCTGGGCCCAGTTGTTCAAAGGGCAATAAGCTTAATCAGTGATTAGTGCAAATTTCAATGTATGTGTATCTTTGAAACACAACCATTGACCGAGTTAAAACTTTCCAGATATCCAGTATTTAGTAGAGTTAATGTACGTGTAAAATTACAAGTTTTTACCTTGTATATTGACGAAATTATTAAAGGTTGAAAAATGTCGTTAAACAGTGATTCAGCTAATCATCTTTTGAACAACCATTTAAGATGATACAAAACAATTCCGAGTTCTCTATCTAGAATAAGCATAAAACGTGAAAGCTACACGGTCCTTCATACATGTATGTATCTTGTCACAGCCCATTACAGGAATATAGGAATCCTCGATAATCCAGGGGTTACACTCACTTACCCTCTCTGCACCCCTGGAATATGTAATGACAAAATATTAGGCTCAAGTGTGCGCCACCTTGTGCATGAAACGAGAAGACTAGTTAAATCCTTTGATGTACATCAAAGAATCTCTGTCGCATAACGGTAAAACTGCTTTGAGGTCCGGAGTTGCTCCTCTAATCTTCAAAGGACAGGTATATATATAAGCCTAGTGATTGGTCTGGGTTTTCTTTTAACCCAGAGACCAATCAAATAGCTAACTCTGTGCCTTCAATCCTGCTGGGACATATTCCAGGGGTGCAGAGAACGAAAGTGAGCGTAACCCCTGGGGTATCGAGGATGGAGAACGAAAGTGAGCGTAACCCCTGGGGTATCGAGGATGGAAGAAGTTCCTGCTGACCCAAACTTCTTAATAGTTGGTCAGTGGTATCCTGACTACCCCTTAACAGTGGTATCCTGACTACCCCTTTCCCTATATCAGTGAAACTGGTGTACTAGAGGTGTGTGCATATCTGTATGTCCTATCAGCTCAATAGCCTTTTACCAAGTCGATCAGGGTGTAATTCCCTGATAAGACGTGGAAAGGAATGGGGTCACCTGCCATATCATGTAAGCTTTCTCCAGGTACTCTTGTACAATTTGTATTTCAATGTATTGTCAAAATATTTGAATAAAACAAAATTTAAACCAACCTCCACATGAAGACCTCCTGCATTCTACCATCCGGGTTAACAGGATAGATTAAGTTGATACACTTTGTTTCATTAAGTTTAATCAATAATCAATGTAAGCGTTCACTGGGTATAGTTGTACTGCACAAAGATCACAGAACACACAATTTTTACTACAACATTATTTTTTATATAATTTAATGTTTTAAGGATTATAGACATACAAACATGATGCTTATCAACAAATTAGTGGCTACATTTCTAATCACACCATGGCCACCTTCCAACACAAAGCACAAGTGGCATCAGACCTCAAATACTGCTTTGGTATTTCATTCTGTAATTAGGCATTAATCACGATTAGAGCGCAAAATTAACGAAATCAAAAAAAAACACCACAGAATTTTTGCATTTGCATATCAAAATCACATTAGCCTAAATTATGTATTATTGTTTCTAATCAAAATTACATGCATTTTCAGATGCCCTTTCATAAAAAGAAAATCTGCATAAAAACCTCATATTGATGAATGCTTGTGTGTTAAAACATAAAGAGTGTACTATATAAATCTCTGATGGTGTCAGCTCCTTATATAGCTGCTGAGACCATAGTTCAAGGTCTGATCATCTCTTATTTTTTCATATTGAAATTTTAGATTTCTGACCAAAGAGATCTGAAATCTAAAAATTTCAAAATACAAAAGCACTGATCGACCTTGAACTGTAGTCCCCATTTGAGGGTAAGAAATGGCAACAAATATGAAATATTTTAATTTGAACAAATAGAAGTAAATCCAAAACAGTCAAACTGATTTTATGGTTTGACAATGGTGATCCTGTCATTGAAATCTGACACCAAATTAAGAAGAAAGAATTAATGCACATGTTTGCCATAGGTCTTATAAAGGTTTCTCTTTAAATTTGATGTAATAAGGATTAGTTTAATACTAAAAGGGTTATTATAACATTGTCAATATCATCTTTTACAAATCTAACAGATAAGAGGGAGAAGAAACACAGGTAGTACTTATGCAAGTATATTCTAACCTTAGGTGAAGAATTTGGAACCAGATTCCCCCAAATTAGGCTAGCGATATATTTTACAGCTATGAATGGCCAATCAGGGTGTTAAATTGCTACATGCCCCTGTGTTTATGCATGTATACATAATTAGAAGAAGCCAAGTAAGGACAGTGTTACAAGTCCCTATGTTAAATGTAAATCACAAAAGCAGAATTAGAATGTGGCTTATTACATGTATTCATAAAATATTGCACAGAAACAACATTTAAAACTTGTTACTTCCCATAGTATAGTTACTTCCCATAGTATAGTTACTTCCCATAGTATATAGCTACGATTGGATAGGTTAGATGTTAAGCAATCGTTCTGTCATACATAGCTCCATCGTTCCAGGCCTCAAAACGAGTGGTCGACATATCTTCTGATTAATGACTAAGAATCTAAAGAATTCTTTTATTTTAGCTAAGATATCTGTTAGATAGCTCTAGAGACACTCCAAATAGGCACTCCATTACTGTATAACGTGGGGAAACGCATTATCTGGAGGACGTCAGTATGTTGTGTACAGTAATGGAAATTGATGAGGCACTGATTTTGATTGGGGAAATACGTTATACACAAATCAATGTTTGATCAAGTTATGCTAGAGATTCCTATGTATGATTCCTTACAATTTAATCTAAGGATAAAGACCTAATACCACATATATGTTAACCATAATCTAGCTTCTTTCCATTCTTGCCTATTTTTTTCTGATTCAAAATAGACAATGCTCTTTTCAAATCTCTTTCCGATGGCCTGTTAATAAAGTAATAGACAATGCTCTTTTCAACTCTCTTTCCGATGGCCTGTTAATAAAACATTTCTTTATAAAACTTTGTTCACAGCTTCAAAATTAAAGCAAAAAGATCAAAACAAAAATGGTTTTCACAAAAAATTTCAAAATTAACTTTAAAAAACCCAATAAGATACCAAGAGCTAACGACATCCAGCTGTTGAATAAACATGGGTGGCAATGAGGATAATAAAAGAGTATTCATTTCAAATGGGATTTAATAAGAAGTGAGTCTAGACATTTCCATTTTTGAGAGGCGCTAACTGATATTACATGTGTGTCATTGGAGAAATAGTCATGTAATTAAAACACAATTGAAACTACCAACACAAGATACAAAGTGAAAGTTTACCAACAGGATATACGGTATAAAAATTACCATCATGAAGTACAGTATAAAAATTATACCAACACAAGATACGGTATACAAATTATACCCAGAGGAGAAACAGTATAAAAGTAAGATTTGCTGAAGAAAAACTGTTCATCATATGGTGACCTTTAATCTGGTAGGAAATTGTTACAAAAATAAAATTTGACAAATTCTTTTGCCTTAAAATCACTAGCATGTCCCCTGATATACTGTTAACTACAAAACCAAAGTCATGACAATACACAGCACCTTATGATAAAAACTACACAGCTACCCAAAGCCTGACACTCTTATCCCTCAACTGTAAAACACAACTACAACCTATAGAAGTCATATAAAATTATATTTAAAACGTTCGACAATCTTTGAAAAACACTCAAAATGAATATCTAAAAAGGTCAGGTAATTTATAAACTGGCTGTCATAGTTAAGTCTAACCTCGGTATTATCGTCGGAGTAATGCACTTTGATACAGTCTCAACTTCTGGAACCGTGGTTCTGAAATAGTCGACCATGTATCTAAAAGGTAAGAAATGCAAAATGGTAGGTTAAAAAATACATGTAACTTTCAAAATATAATAAATTAAGACATTTGTACTGTTCTAGCCCTCTGTATTGTCAAATATGAATGGGCAAAACATGAAACAAAATAATGCAGTAACTTAAACAAGACAAAATGTGATGTGTTTGACAACGAAAATAACAATATAGATACTTGTGAGGGAAAATTGAATTAATGTTTTAAAATTAAGGAAAAAATATAGAAAAAATAAAAGTAAAAGATTTCAAGAACTACCAAGCACAAAAATTGTAAGACTGACATAAGAAAACAAAACAACTGAAGATTTTTGGAAAACAATTGATTACAAATACAATGACATTAACATAACTTGAAATCGGTATGTAATTAACATAAGAAGAAAGATAACAATTTTATATACACAAGATACTAACTGTGAAAATACAATAACAGTACAACAATTCTAATGACCAATCTATTACATTTAACAATGATACAGGTAACAAAACACCCTATCCATCACGATCAATGAGACACTATTAACCCCACTCTTAGACTAGCATCAAGTCAGACTCACAGAAGACCAGCTGTTTGGGCTTCTCGGTGTATCAGCCAATCAGTGTCTCAGCCAATCACTGTATTGGCCAATCAGTACCTCAGCCAATCACTGTATCGTCCAATCAGTGTCTCAGCCAATCAGTGTCTAAGCATTTCACTATATCGGCCAATCAGTGTCTCAGCCAATCACTATAATTATGATACACATGTAGCACTGAGTCACTTCTAAACACCAACAACATAGCTCTTAATTACATCAGTACAGGCAGTTTGAGATTTGTTATCTAACCTATTCCCTTGTACTTGTGAAATATTTTCATATAAAGAGGAAAGATTGAGGTGGAAAACAAGGATTAAATAGATATCATATGTTAAAACAAGAATGAAATTGACAACATGTCATCTTTACTTTTGAATGCTGTGGTGTTTTTTATGATACTTAACAACCAATACATTCAATTCACCATTTTTTTTAGTTTTACGATTGAAAATGTATAAATAATCATGATCATCCAATCTAAATTCTTGGTTTCCTTAAACATCTTGTTGTTTAATATATACATTTAAATCCCGATTTCCAAATCTCTCCAGTAAAATCATCAGTTATATATGAGTATGTCTTAAAATTTTGAAAGGAGAATATGCATGAAACAGGAAAGTCTGTACTCTGCCTATCCATGTGTATAGTTACACCAAAAAAACCCAATAAAATTTAATTAAAGAGATTATTTGTAAATACTATCTAAAAGGTTAGAGGTTTCAAGGCATTGTCTGTCCACTGATCACTGAGGTCGGTTGCCCGACTCAAACACGTATGTAACCTGGTACATGTATCATTGTACTATGTACACAAGGCAAATAAAGAAAGAAATGTATTCAAAAATATAAAGTACGCACAATACTGGAAATGTTGACTTACAAGACATAACATGACCAAGCTTTTTTACAAACATGTATACCCTGGTAATACCAGTATTTGAAACATTATTCCTTTAGAGGGAAGGAAACACATTTCCTCATACCATCAAGTAAGAATTAAAAGTACCCATACTTAAAAACTTAACTAAACATCCTAACATTTTCAATAAAATAACTTGTATATGCGAAAGTGCAATTGGAATGAACTTACTAAAATGAAATGAACTAATTATGACATTAACCTACACATGTTGCCAAACAAGTGTGCAAAATTCATAACGAGTAAATCAATGTATTTATAGACTAACCATATTTCTCATCAATCAATGTGTACATGCCACACACAATCACACACATATGATTATATATACATTGTATGTATATGTGTGTGTGTGTGTGTGTGTGTGTAGCACTGAATTAATTTGGACATTGGATTTTGGGGCAAGATGCAAAAATATGTGTGCATGTCACATAATCATGAGTACATGTCACATGACATGTCATAGAAATATGTGCACCTGTAACAGAACATTGTGCACATGTCACAGAATTCTGTGTCTATGTAACAAAATCATGTGTACATGTCATTGAATCACGAGTGCATGTCATAGAATGCATAAGAATCATGTGTACATCATTATAAATTCACGTGTACTTGGAAAGACGTGTAAACTGGGTGACCAACACAGGCCAGTTGTCACGGTTGTCTGTAAGCTTCAGACTCCCTGAAATTACTCTAAATCACAGGTAAAGATGATCATCTTCAGAACACTAGTCCAGCATCTTTGGCCATTCCATAAAATATAGTTTCCTTATCTTGCAATAAAATATGGGGAATTTCATATTCACGAATAACACCAGCATCTAGCACCATAATCCTGAAATGAAAAAGAAACATTGAACGTTTCAAAGCAATAGCGTGAAAAACAGTCATCAGGTAATGTTAAGAATCTCTCTTTTCCCTTTAATAAAGAATTTGATGCACAAATGAAGCCTGTATTTACACATAATCAAGATAATTACTGTCACAAAAGAACGATTATGACAAGGTACTATTTTTTTAATGTTGAGCAATATAAAAGGAAATAATCAATTTTCTGGAATGTTTTGTATGGCACAGTTTTATTCCACCAATCAAAGAAGTCCCATTGATCATATATCTTAATATATAATGTTTGTATGGTAGCATTAAACTTTGAATAGCAATGATAAGATCTGTTAGGTAACTGAAATAATTAATTGTACACTTGTAAGGTAACATATAGATTTGAACTGAATGAGACTGATTACTTGTCGTAGTCCATGATAGTGTTGAGCCTGTGGGCGATTGTGAGGATGGTACAGTCATGGAACTCTGTCCGGATGGTGTTCTGGATGAGGTCGTCCGTCTCCAGGTCCACCGCTGCTGTGGCTTCGTCAAGGACGAGGATCTTGGTCTTCCTCAGTAAAGCGCGGGCCAGGCATACCAACTGTCTCTGTCCCACACTGAAACATGACGCACAATCTGGTGTGTAATATTAAGCTTAATAGATCTTTTAACTCCTCAAGGGCAAGATAGAGGGATTTCAACCCCAAACGTGTGAGAGATTCGTTTTCTTTTACCCTGTTCAACCTATCATATAATGCAGAGTTAAAGTTACAGAGTCTGTGTACCTGCTGATGTTAATGCAATGCTAATGGGACATCAATGGACTGTTGACGTAACATCATACAATTGTTATGACTGAGGAATACCCCCCCTCCCCCCCCCCCTCTCTCAACACTTGGGTGACAAGGGAAGGAAGGGGATTCATACTACTAGACTCTCCTAGACATGTGAATAAGAGGGTGAAATATTATTGCACTATATCTGACAGTCTTTACCCAAAATTCATGAGAAAATGAGGTCAAATGTGAAAGCCTGAGGATATCATCCTTGACTTACCTGAGATTATCACTCATTGACTCACTCAAGATTATCACCCCTTGAATTACCTGAGACTATCACCCCTTGACTTACCTGAGATTATCACCCCCTGACTTACCTAAGGTTTTCACCACCTTCAGAACATTCGTACATTAATTCAGTAGGAAGTTCCTTTACAAAGCTCTTAAGATGGGCATGTTCTAGTGCTCTCCATAGTTCTGCATCACTGTACTGCTCAAACGGATCAAGGTTCATCTTTAGGGTGCCAGAAAACAGCACTGGCTCCTGAAACACAGGTTAGAAAAACCTCTTAGAAAGACACTTGATGTAACGGACACATTTATTATAAAATCACTTCTGTAGCAAAAACGTCAGTTCTACAAAGCCCACTTTTGTATCAGACAGGTATCTGTATAGATAACCTTTGTATCAGACACCTGTCTATATAGAAATCCTCCACATCAGACACCTGTCTATATAGACAACCTCTATATCAGACACCTGTCTATATAGACAACCTCTGACATCAGATACAACATACTTATCTATACCTGGCATTAATATGCTATATTACCAGTGATTTAAATAGAAATTTACCTGAGGTCTGACATTAACATACCTGTGGTATAATTGTGATCTTGGATCGGAGATCGTGCAGTCCCAGAGAGGCTATATCAATACCGTCTATAATGATACTGCCTTGGGCCTTTTCTATGATACGGAATAATGCTAAGGTAAGTGATGATTTCCCTGCTCCTGTTCTTCCAACAATGCCCACCTGACAAACAAAAAAACAGCCCTTGATGACACGCTTACACTCTCAAGAAAACTCATTATTATTTCATTGTGTGCTCCACATGTTCAGCCAATCACAGTTGTTCCCTTACTTGGTCTAGTAAAAAAAAATTGCCCAATGGACCATTGCAAAATTATATAATTTGAATATTGCTGTATTCATGGCATTCTGTTTTATTACTTTACATCAAATAAACAATTGACAGGCAAAATAGCTTCATTTCTGTTAAAAGATGCTTCAACTATACTTTCACAATAGTTTTGGACCAATGCATTTTTTGTTTTGTTTTGGAATTTCAAAAATGAGAATGACCGAACTTCTTGCCTAGTGTACCTACCTTTTCTCCGGGTTGTACCTCACATGTTATGCCTTTAAGGACAAGATCCAGACCTTCCCGGTACCTCGTGCCATAATTTTCAAAGGTCACTTTGCCTGTTTCTGGCCACTTGGGGTCAGGTTTCTTGTCCTCTATTTCCCATGCGGCCTGAAAAATCACATCCAATAAGGGTTTAAGTACCTATTAGTACAGGGCATAATTTCCTTATACTCAAATTTTTCAGAGTATATATAACAGTATTAATATACTTTATAACAAATTTTACTATCAACTAGAGCTTTCATCTGAGGAGGTCACACTTTCCCACGAGGTTGACTAAAGGAATTTGCAAATTTTCCATGACTGAAGCAAGGTAATTTGTAGAAACTTAAGTGTGGAAACTGACCAATCCAACCCGAGCATGGATTTTGCTCAAGTTTGAACTTATTCTCAGTCTTCAAAAAAAATAAAATGTACATGTATACCAACTATAATTAAAATAGAATGATTTTCAAACAAGGTTATCTTGCAAGACCACAATAAAAACTGACAGACGCTTCCCATACCATAATGCATTCCATCAAAATTTTTGACAAGGGTATAAAAATTATATTTTTCTGACTAAGGTACATTTAAGCTTTGAACAAAATTGTTCTGCAAAATTTTGCCATTATAAAGATGTGTTATGATATACATACATACATATAAATATACATAAGTATCCTACCTCTGTTTGGTCTATAAGTATCCTATATCTGTGTGGGTCTATAAGTATCCTACCTCTGTGGGGGTCTATAAGTATCCTATCTCTGTGGGGTCTATAAGTATCCTACATCTGTGGGGGTCTATAAGTATCCTACCTCTGTGGGGGGCTATAAGTATCCTACCTCTGTGGGGGTCTATAAGTATCCTGCCTCTGTGGGGGCCTATAAGTATCCTACCTCTGTGGGGGTCTATAAGTATCCTGCCTCTGTGGGGGGCTATAAGTATCCTACCTCTGTGGGGGTCTATAAGTATCCTACTTCTGTGGGGGTCTATAAGTATCCTACCTCTGTGGGGTATTATACGTATCCTATCTCTGTTGAGGTCTATAAGTATCCTACCTCTGTGGGGGGCTATAAGTATCCTACCTCTGTGGGGGTCTCGGAGGACTCCTTCACTCTCTCCACAGCTACAATGTTGGTTTCCAGTACACAGGTCATCCTCACCAGCCAGTTCAGTGTCTGTGTCACCTACAATACCAACACCACAATGTAATGTGGGGGTCTATAAGTATCCTACCTCTGTGGGGTATTATAAGTATCCTATCTCTGTAGGGTCTATAAGTATCCTACCTCTGTGGGGGTCTAAAAGTATCCTACGTCTTTTGGGGTCTATAAGTATCATATCTCTGGGGGGTCTATAAGTATCCTACGTCTGTTGGGGTCTAAAAGTATCCTACCTCTGTGGGGGTCTATAAGTATCCTGCCTCTGTGGGGGGCTATAAGTATCCTACCTCTGTGGGGGTCTATAAGTATCCTGCCTCTGTGGGGGTCTATAAGTATCCTACCTCTGTGGGGGCTATAAGTATCCTACCTCTGTGGGGGTATATAAGTATCTTACCTCTGTTGAGGTCTATAAGTATCCTACCTATGTGGGGGTCTATAAGTATCCTACCTCTGTGGGGGCCTCGGAGTACTCCTTCACTCTCTCCACAGCTACAACGTTGGTTTCCAGTTCACAGGTCATCCTCACCAGCCAGTTCAGTGTCTGTGTCACCTACAATACCAACACCACAATGTAAACTATTTCATAAAATCTGAAGATGTGAAACCCTCAAGTATCCTACATCTGTGGGGGTCTATAAGTATCCTACCTCTGTGGGGTATTATACGTATCCTATCTCTGTTGAGGTCTATAAGTATCCTACCTCTGTGGGGGGCTATAAGTATCCTACCTCTGTGGGGGTCTATAAGTATCCTGCCTCTGTGGGGGGCTATAAGTATCCTACCTCTGTGGGGGTCTCGGAGGACTCCTTCACTCTCTCCACAGCTACAATGTTGGTCTCCAGTTCACAGGTCATCCTCACCAGCCAGTTCATTGTCTGTGTCACCTGCAATACCAACACCACAATGTAAACTATTTCATAAAATCTGAAGATGTGAAACCCTCAAGTATCCTACATCTGTGGGGGTCTATAAGTATCCTACCTCTGTGGGGGCCTATAAGTATCCTACCTCTGTGGGGGTCTATAAGTATCCTGCCTCTGTGGGGGCCTATAAGTATCCTACCTCTGTGGGGGTCTATAAGTATCCTACCGCTGTGGGGGTCTATAAGTATCCTACCTCTGTGGGGGCCTATAAGTATCCTACCTCTGTGGGGGTCTATAAGTATCTTATCTCTGTGGGGTCTATAATTATATAGTATCCTACCTCTGTGGGGGTCTATAAGTATCCTATCTCTGTGGGGTCTATAAGTATCCTACCTCTGTGGGGGTATATAAGTATCTTACCTCTGTTGAGGTCTATAAGTATCCTACCTATGTGGGGGTCTATAAGTATCCTACCTCTGTGGGGGGCTATAAGTATCCTACCTCTGTGGGGGTCTCGGAGTACTCCTTCACTCTCTCCACGGCTACAATGTTGGTTTCCAGTTCACAGGTCATCCTCACCAGCCAGTTCAGTGTCTGTGTCACCTACAATACCAACACCACAATGTAATGTGGGGGTCTATAAGTATCCTACCTCTGTGGGGGCCTATAAGTATCCTACCTCTGTGGGGGTCTATAAGTATCCTACCTCTGTGGGGGTCTCGGAGTACTCCTTCACTCTCTCCACAGCTACAATGTTGGTTTCCAGTTCACAGGTCATCCTCACCAGCCAGTTCAGTGTCTGTGTCACCTACAATACCAACACCACAATGTAAACTATTTCATAAAATCTGAAGATGTGAAACCCTCTAATGACAGGAAATAGTTCATTATTCTTTTCACAAGTATTTTCAAATTTGTATTAGTTGGTATGTAATGTTACACAAATAAAACTGTAAATTAAGATGATGAAATAGATTTTAAAAAGTTTGCCATTTCTAATTTAATCAATGGACCAACTGCTGACATCAAAATGTGAAAAGTGCTACTCAATCACAATAAGTAAATCAATAACATTTTAATCTTTCTGGTTCAGTGAAAATGTATCGAGGTGCTGCAGGTTTTTTTCAATTAAGTGTCCAGAATGTCTGTTTGTTTCAGTCATGATTAAAGAGTGACACTATCAAATGCTTTTCGATGAACACAAAGAAATCAGTGGCTGTGGACTTACATTTAAGGCGTAGGTGATGGAGAGGCCGACCAGACCGGCCGACAGTTCATCACGTCCGAGGACGGCAAACAAGGCGGCAAAGAATACAATACAGTTAGCCACAAACTCCAGACGGATAGCCAGCCACCTGTGGAACAATAGACAAGATTTGTAGTCAACATTTAATGGAAACTAATAATACAATGTATGTATGGTTTTTCTTTCCGCTACAAACAGTTTGTTTATTATATATCTGTAGCATATCATTTTATATTCAGGCAGAAACTTATTCTTGCTTATGCTATCTTTGATTCCAGGACAGGACAAGTAAAAATTCCAGTTACCCATGGCATGCAGATATATATGGTCTGTGGGGAAGTAAACATTCCAGTTACCCATGGCATACAGATATATATGGTCTGTGGGGAAGTAAACATTCCAGTTACCCATGGCATACAGATATATATGGTCTGTGGGGAAGTAAACATTCCAGTTACCCATGGCATACAGATATATATGGTCTGTGGGGAAGTAAACATTCCAGTTACCCATGGCATACAGATATATATGGTCTGTGGGGAAGTAAACATTCCAGTTACCCATGGCATACAGATATATATGGTCTGTGGGGAAGTAAACATTCCAGTTACCCATGGCATACAGATATATATGGTCTGTGGGGAAGTAAACATTCCAGTTACCCATGGCATACAGATATATATGGTCTGTGGGGAAGTAAACATTCCAGTTACCCATGGCATACAGATATATATGGTCTGTGGGGAAGTAAACATTCCAGTTACCCATGGCATACAGATATATATGGTCTGTGGGGAAGTAAACATTCCAGTTACCCATGGCATGCAGATATATATGGTCTGTGGGGAAGTAAACATTCCAGTTACCCATGGCATGCAGATATATACGGTCTGTGGGGAAGTAAACATTCCAGTTACCCATGGCATGCAGATATATATAGTCTTTGGGGAAGTAAACATTCCAGTTACCCATGGCATACAGATATATATGGTCTGTGGGGAAGTAAACATTCCAGCTACCCATGGCATGCAGATATATATGGTCTTTGGGGAAGTGAAAATTTACATCTACTAACCAAATTGACCAGTGCAGAATTTTCTTTTGAATATTACTATATTAACAGCATTTTAAATACTGCTGTATATTTCATATCTGGTCAAGTTCTGTTTCAAATGGCAATATGCACTAGCCTGTGATCACATGAAGGACCCGTGTTTTTGACCACATTGTTCTTGCACTGAAGGGATGTAATATCAGGTTGTTCAGTTACATTCCTGTTTCCTGCGATACTATGCCCCAATGTGGCGCTCAGATATATTTTCCATGATGCTAACTGTAATATTATAGGGCAGTAACATGTTGTGTAGAGTTTCTTTTCACCTGTTAGCTAAGAAAATACCAGGGAAGTAATATGTTTGTTTTTGTCAGTCACATTTCTTACCTGTTAGCTATGATACTAGGGAAGTAACAAATGTTGTTTTCGTCAACTTTGCCCTCTGACTCGCTGATGAAGCGTTCCTGTTGTTTATAAGCACGAATTGTCGTCACCCCGGTCACTGTCTCCCCGAAGTGAGAGTAGATTGGTGACCTACTCACAGAATCAAGTCGCTTCAGCTGACGAGATGTCGCCACATAAAACCTCTGTTAATATAAATGTTACAAATTAGTCAAACATTTCAATGTAGATATATATCAATTCACAACACATATCATACAAAAAGGAACCACTTCAAATTTTGCAGTTTTTTTTATATTTTGTATTATTTAATACATTCTTATTTATCTTTTTTTTTTCTTATCTTCAATTCTGTAATAACAAAAATCATTCCAGATTTCACATGAACAATTTAAAAGTTATGGATTTCCTTTAAACTGATGAATAATCTTTAAATTGTTATATATAGGGTAACTATTAAGTTAATCAAATCAGGTATGAATATGTAAGGAGACAAATTATGTAGCACATAAACAGAATCACAACACTGAACTGAAGCACACATTGATTAATAATAAACTGAAGACAGGCAGTGTTAGATAAAGCATGTTATATGGTTAACAGGTTAATGGAGGATGCATTGCATGCAACAAGCCAGTGTACCCACTATCCAAATCCTGTACAGGTAAGTGACAGGGACATCCTCTGTGACTAAGTGACAGGGACATCATTTGTGACTAAGTGACAGGGACGTCCTCTGTGACTAAGTGACAGGGACATCATTTGTGACTAAGTGACAGGGACGTCCTCTGTGACTAAGTGACAGGGACATCCTCTCTGACTAAGTGACAGGGACATCCTTTGGGCTACGTGACAGGGACATCCTCTGTGACTTAGTGACAGGGACATCCTTTGGGCTAAGGGACAGGGACATCCTCTGTGACTAACTGACAGGGACATCCTCTGTGACTTAGTGACAGGGACATCCTTTGGGCTACGTGACAGGGACATCCTCTGTGACTAACTGACAGGGCCATCCTCTGTTACTAAGTGACAGGGACATCCTTTGGGCTACGTGACAGGGACATCCTCTGTGACTTAGTGACAGGGGCATCCTTTGGGCTAAGTGACAGGGACATCCTCTGTGGCTACGTGACAGGGACATCCTTTGTGACTAAGTGACAGGGACATCCTCTGTGACTAAGTGACAGGGACATCCTCTGTGGCTAATGAAGTGATTATAAGGATAATAATAAATAATAATTTGAGGTTCTTATATACTGCTTTATCACAACCTAGTTCGTAGGTCATCTCAAAGCAGTTAACAAATTATTATCCGTGGTTATAGGGCCTTTGTAACCAGCCAATATCTTTCTCAACTCCCTGGGGAGCATACAGCCGGAGCTGCTATTTCGGCGCTAACAGCTAGCATTCAGCAATTCTAGCACTGCCCAACCACATACTCATTTACAGCTGAATAGACTGGAACAAGCTGAGTAAACTTTCTTGTTCAAAGATACAACACAGTGCAGTGACATGACTTGAACCTGCAACCCTTCGGTCATGAGCCCAGCGGCCTACCACTAGACTACGCTGCCTTCAGGATATCAGTAAGATAGGGACATTTTTTTCTGACAGACGCATAAATTAGAGATGTGGAATACGTTTGCAATGGATTAAGCTCATATTTCACTTCTAATAAACATACTTAATAAGAGATATACATAATCTTATAACCAACAGATCTACATAGATATATATGATCTTTATTTCATTACTCTATCTTACTTTTACTTTTGTGATGATGATAAGAATATTTTCTTATTTGGCATATGAAGCACAGATCTTCTGAAGGCCTGATCATCCAAAGGGATAAGTACTAATATCATAAATGATTAGATTAAACAAAACTGCAAAGGTAAAAAAGTAAATGCAAATAACACTATCTACAAACTCAAGAAAACATTCTGATAAGGAAAAGCCAGCTTTAAGCGTGTGTGCTTTAGTGCATTTTAAAGTATACATGTTGAAGTTTTTGTCATTTTTTCTTTGAAGAGTATGCCAAGCTAGCCAGCGTCTAAATTCAGGACACATCTGAAATGTTGTAAAGGGAGATAATTTCATTTCCGCGGAAATCAGTGAAAATGTTTTGAGATGATTGTTATGGAGTTGAGAACTGGTGATAGGATGAAGTTTGTTAGGATCAGAACATATGTGGTCCTACAGTGGAAACTATGGACAATGAACAGGAACATTTAGTGGGTATTGGGCAGTATTGATTCTTCATTCAATATGTTGTAATAAGTGTTAACACAATATAAACTGAATGATAAGAAGAAAATATGACTGCAGAGCAAAAGAGAAGAAATAAAAGTGATATGAGTGAAAGAAACGAAAGATGCACCGATGACAGGAGGTTCCATATAGTGAACCCAGGGCATCTCAACCCTGACATTCCTCTATACTTCGTATAAGTTTCTAGGGGCAAAAAAAAGCAACTAGAACAAAGATGTTTTAAGAAAAAGAAATAACAGGACACACAGAGAAATGTACTTGATATGATGACAAGAGCTGGTTACCTATACATAATCTGACCCTCTTTACTACAATACTGCTGTATCTCACCAGACATGATCACCTGTGTTTTAGCTCAAAACATTAATGCGGGAAAAGGTCATTTGTATAAACAACCTGATGACTTGAAAGCATTTCATCCCAGCCAACTAAAGACCAGACATCGTCAATCAAGCCATCGTGATTCTATAGGAGTCATTTAAAGATTTTAACATGTTTGATCCCACAGACTTTGAATATAAGTCAAAGCAATTATTACAACAGCTGATCTTCTTCCATCACAGCATGCCACATGGCAAGTATGATCACTTCAAGCTTTGCCGTTCCTGAGGAGGAATTGTTTGCAGGTTGTAACAGATTTTATCCTTACGTCTTTGAATGTTAGTCACAGTCATTTTGCTTTTAACAGCCATTCATACAAACGAGCTACAAGCTAAATTTCATGAAATCAAGCCTTATGGCTCTTAAATATTAGAAGATATTTAAAGAAAAAATATGATATAATATGCTAGGCACTAACACTTTGCTGAAGCTCAAAGGCACTTTGTAAACTAACCAATTCTATGACGGAACAATTAACAAACTTTAAAGTGACAATGAGTGTCTATTGAAGCAGATTTCACCAATAAAAATTCAAGGACTGTAGCTTATATTATGGTCTTCAACCTATTTACTAACTTATCACATGATTTATTCCATTTAGATACTAGCTCATTATACTTTATGTGACATAGTAAAGATTGTTTGCAATTAATCTTTCTATTGATTTTGTTTGTAACTGGCATAGAATGCCCCCTAATATTGAAGCCAAATAAGCCATTTTATATAATATACCACTACCAGATAAAACCTAATTAAAGCACATGCATGAATAATCACATTCACCACTTCGTACAAAAAATTACTGTAAAACATGTTTTTTGTTGATTTAGTTCACAATCATAAATTTATTAAATTCAAATAATTACATCTACCAGAAATCAAATTATTTTTGGATATCAATCTGACATACTCCTCATCAAACTCTTTCTTAGTCAGATTTTAGTCCTAGTCAAAATTTTCACTTTATCAAACAATCACTTTTGTTTGAGTGGTCCCTTAACACAGATTTAACTGCAGACATTTTGTTTTCTTTTTCTTCTTATGTAACAACTGATGGCAAGCACAGATTGATAAAGATATGATGTTACGGTAGCTTGATTCAAGGTCACTATTTAATTATCTGTTTTTCTATGATTAAATGTTAACTGTCACTAGGTTTTTAACACATGTACACTACACTTACTTAAGTAGATACAAACTATAACTGTCCCGATAAATCTAGGAACTGTAGAGAACCAGAAATTTGATTTAATTTTAAGTATACAACAAGTAAATTTAACCCATTCTATGGCTAAAAAAAGGTGAAAGTTTTTAAAATATGACTAACACTTGACAAAACGACTTGAAATGGAGAACTAGACAGGGGTTGTCATCACACCAAACACATGTGAATTTTCTACGCTAACCAATCAACACACAAGTTTTTACTACACGAGGACAGATTGTACTGTATTCCGACCAGTTATTGCCACTTTATCAAGATATTTGCTGCTATTAAAATGAACAAAAGCATTCTCCACTGATTCAATTAGTTAAAGGTTACCAAACATTGATCCGATATATGAATTAATAGTTTCATGTGCCAATGTCATATAATAAACAGATGACCAAATTTAGCAAATTTGAGACTTCTGAACCTAACGAGTTACAGCCAGAATCAAAATCCCACAGCATCACTAGTGTCAGACAAAACAACTTTGTGCTGATCATTACAGCAGGTTTAAAATGGTCACCGTTAGCTGACCAGGTTACAGAACCAGATTTAGTGATATTTATTACTTTTCAGCTAAAAAAATCCATGAAATAGAACATATAGAACAGAAATGAGGAAGGAATTACACACATCAAGTATGACCTACCAAACACCAGCTACCTAACAGAATGGAGTTTGGGAGAAGCATGTATACCGAAGTCGTGGGGGTCATATAATAAGGTCAATAATAAACTCCTATTTTTAGACTAAGAAAGGTTTTGTTACATTAACTCCACACTTTGATCAGTACAGTTAATTGAGAAAATTAATCCTATTTTTAGACTAAGAAAGGTTTTGTTACATTAACTCCACACTTTGATCAGTACAGTTAATTGAGACATAAACTTTTCCATAAAGTTTTTATACACAGATGATATCACTTATTTTATGATGCTATTAAATGTATTGTTATTTCAGGTATATGGAGATGGTTTCCCTGATATTTTCTGGCACAAAGTTGATAACAACGCACACAGTGACACACCAAAACAAAATGGTGGAATTTGGTGATAACTGGTGATAGAAGAAGTCGTGTATTACCGGAGGTAGGGGTGGTACTCTGTGGCAGCAATATTAGTAGGTGGCAGTAACAGGTGGGAAATCAGTACAATGGGTTCTAATGACATCATCTAAACATCATCTAAACAGACAGGTATATATAACAGCATCAGATGTCGGGGAGAGTAGTACCTGGATGACAATGTATAGAACTCCTAGGGGCACTATGACGGCCAAAAATATTGAGGTTCCCATGGAGATTACTACCATGGTGCTGAT